CGAGTACAGTAGAAAACTGCAAAATAAGATGCTATAATTGCTTTTGCAGGTTACTAGTCATAATATTCTCCATTTTATTCCTCAATAATATTTTTTTACCCTTTTGGAGTTTTTGTTGTTGAAGAACACTTGTAACTAGTGGCCATTGTTCTTTTTGTCTCATCTGACTTCAACTCTCCATGCTACTTTATCTTCCACTGTTTTTGTTTGGTTGGTTGGTTGTTTTTTTTGCTTCCTAAAAAGTTTGTGAGACCACCAGTCAATATGCAAAGAAAGAAATACAGATTTTTTTATGCTGTGTTGAGGTACATGGAAATTCAACCTTAAGATGTGCATAGAGCTCAGGACAATACTACCCAGGGGTTTGGCAGCCAGATTTCTTTTATTCAGTCAACAATAGATAGCCAGCTTATGACTGTGGTAAGACAGAGAAGAAGCTGTAGTCCTGCTCCAGCATTTCTGTCAGCCTCTTGTTTTGATCTGTTTAATTCCACATGAGCTCTCCTGCCGTTTGTGCTGCTGTCACAGGTGAGACCTTTGCAGCAGTTCGTGGCTGACCAGTCTTCTGTCACTGGTGGCTCTTTTTTCCTTTTATCTTTCACAAGGAGAAATTTTAAATAAAATACAGTGCTTTGGGGAGTTGTTTTTTCTTTTTAATATGATTGCAATTTAAAGTCATTTTGCTGAATACAAGTCAAAAAAGCATGTTAAAAGATGTGTATCTTAATAAGCAGATAAAGCAGTTATTGATTTTTGGTCAAGATTTGATTCATAACATCAATCAAGTCTACATGAAGTTCCCCTCTCATTTAGCTTTGTCTTTGTGGATGGTAAAACTTCAGTGTGTTTGAAGAGATGAAATGTGATGCTTTCTTCTTGCTCTAGAGCAGTATCTTTTCCCTCAAGTTTTTGTTACAAAGTACTGAGAGTCCTATGTGTAAAAAACAAGGCCACAGTTTGTTTTTTGTTTTTCTATTCTCTGAGAAGCCTCCATACAGAGGGAAGGATAGATTTTAGGTCTTTGGTAGAATATGCATTGCTTAGAATTTCTGCAGAATTTCCTTCTGTAGGAAGGAAAGCAGCTTCTCGTCCAAGAATATTGCACTGCTGTATTTAAACTGCAAAATAACCAATGGTACCTAACTGACATAGGATCATTTCTTGCCTGGATGAGATGGAGTTGCTTAGCTGGAGATAGAAGAATATATCATTCTCAGAGCCTTCTGGATTTGTACTTGACATTATTGTGGAACCTCAGAGTACTGTCAAGAAGTGAATTTGAGCGCAATGATTCTGGGTGCGTCTTCAACGTAGGAAACATTATGATCTGTACAGTGTCTGTAGAACCCCAGCCTGTGCTGTCTTCATATTCTTCTTTCTTGAATTCAGTTTTCTTCCAAGACTGGACATCCTTGTGATAGCGTTATTGCTGCAAGCACTGAAGTCGTAGCTCATTGGGTAGATCCCTTCAGGAAGGATTCATAAACCTGTGTTTATAAAAGTATAAAAGGATCTTGCCTCATCAGGTGAGACAGTAGTGGCTTAGAATTGTCAGGAGAAAGTCGTGACAGAGGAAATGGAGCCTACTGATCCAAAGAACATCTTTGTAGGGCTATGATTCTGATGTTTTGCTAGAGATTTCTGAATGTATTGTCTTTACATGCCAGAAGAAGGAAAAGATGGAGCAGTAACCTATAAAGTACCAAACAGGAGGTGGACATGTTGGCTGCAGCCTCAGAGAGGTAGTTGTGGAGGCTGGCACATTTCCAAGTCAGTACAGTGCTGCACAGAGAACAATGTGTTTGGCTGTTCAAGCAATGTTAATTGCCCAAATACCTTTTTCACATTTTTTTTTTTAGGCTGCTTACCTGAATGTCTTTGGCAGATCTGGCTGCATTCTGCAGGTCAGGTCTAGAGATTTTGATTGTGACAATTATCATCGCTGACACGTTTGCAGTTCATTATGTAAATTCTCTTTAAAGGGTGGTAGCACAGCTGCTTAGAGGAAGGCTGGTGTTTGCCTTGTCCTAAGGTGAATTTGGCCCGCTAGAGCCCTCACAGGGAGGGGGAGATTGTTCCATATGGATTGCAGGGGAGGGTAGTCAGAGAGGCAAACAGGGTAAAGGACTGCCACATAGAAGAAGGCTGAAGCACAAGCAGAAATTTGGAGATGCTTGAGACAGAAAGCAATAGCAGAAACACAGCTGGATCTTAGAGAATAAAAAGATAGAATTCTCTGTGTCTCCTCAGAAGTGACTCTGCAGAGTTTTCTGCAACCCAGCAAGTTACTGAGAGTTGCTAGACTAAGGGCAACCATGAAGAAATTATTATTACTATTACTATTTTATTTTTTAAAGTATTAAAAAAGAAAGGAAAAAAAAAATGTGAGTTTTCTTTCTTTATGCTCCCTTATACCATTTCAGGTTCTAATAAATTTTTAAATTAAATTTAAAGCCCCTTTGCTGTTGGTGTCCTATTGCAGCTGTGCAGTTGCTGTTTGATTAGGTGTTAGTTATGATCAAGGATATTTCTTTGTGTTGCATATAAGAGATAATCATTGTCTTAATAGTGTTGCAAATTTGCAGTATCTTTTTGATCAAACTCGAAGACAACCCACAGGGTGCAGGTTACACATTTCTCTTATCAGATGGAATATCTTTGCTTAGTAGAGACTAAGGGCTCAGCTTTCCACCAGATTTACTGGTTGGCAGTAGTGACTACAACTTTAAAGATAGTCATTACGTAGGATTTTTATTCATAATTATTCTAAGTTCCTTTCTGATGGCAGTGTAGAAGAAGTGGGCTGACTTATCAGGGTTACAGTGAGGAAAGGATTATGTTGTTAAACTTGATAAAGAGAACTTGTTGCATAGAAAGAAAGACCGTAAATCGAAGAGAGAAATGTAGGAGAAATTAATGATAAGCTGACTCTGACTTTGGCAGAGCAGGGAAAGTACAGGGAACACAGCAGGAGACCAGTCCTGAAATGTAAGCTGCACCTGACTTGTGCATGACTTGAAAGAAAAATGATAACAGTGGAAAGTATTGAAGGAGAGATTTTGGTATTATATAGTGGAATTAGGCATTGTTGCTAACTCTGGTGAACTAAGGAACCTAGAACCTGAACGCCAGGAGAAAGGAAGACATCTGAAATACTCAGATGTGAACAAGAATGTTATTGCAGAGAATGATCATAGTGCTGAGACGTCAGGCTTTTGAGGAAGCAGATACAGTTCCTACCTGAACATGGAGAGGTATGAGGAGTGGGTGAGTTGCCAGAGTAAAAGCACTAGTGGACATAATGCATTGGAAATCAAAAGAAGAGGAAATAGAATCAGTGATATAAAACTGAAATATCTGTAGAGCATCCAGAAAGAACTATTAAGGAGAAAAAAAAAAAAAAAAAAAACTGCTTATGTACATAGATACAGTTTTGCAAATAATCCAGGTGGGGATAAAATTTGCAGGTTAATATGAAGAATTGTGAATTTAGAAATGTGAAGTCTTTCACTAGTCCTTCACAGCAAAGAAAGATTCTGGGGTGTTAAAAATAAATATATTTATATATATATATATATATATATATATATATATATATATATATATATATATATATAGTGAAAGAGTACTTCAGCAACAGAAATCGTGTAGGAAAGGATGCAGAAAGAATAAGGATTTCCAGGATTTTTTTAAACCTACCTGCCTGTTCTTACCTGTGTCAACCCATCATTTTCTAGACTCTTGGCACTTCTGAAAATCCTATTCTCTCTTGCTGCATACTATTGACCCTCCATTTTAATCAAACCTTTCTGTCACTGTGGTCTCTGGATTTGTAGTAATGTTCTTGTTCCATGTGGGCCATACAGCTCTTCCTCCCATATTCCGCTGTGCTGTATCAGATTTTCAGTTCTCTGACCTCGTATATGCAATTTGCATCTTCTGTTCTATAGACTTACATCTCTCCCGTACCTCTTTGTGTGTGTCTGCCTCTGTGTGTGTGTATGTATGAGAGCTTTACAAGACTGCTCCTTTTTTATGTTAGGTGAAGGTTGTTTTGACTGCATTAATTTGATGACTTCAGCCTTTTTGCTATTATATTATAGACAGATATTTGAGATTAGAATCTCAAATGAATTTTGGTGATATCTCTTCAGGAATCCATGCATCAATCCATGGCCAAGTTTTCCACATAGTGCATGGGAAAGAAGGGCACTGAAGAATAAGGTAGCCATAAGACAGTACAGTGACTGGGAAACTCTCTTAGATAGCCTGTAAAAATGCCAATAGGTAGGCATGATTCTCTCAAAGACTTGAGCACCTAGCTTAGGGATGAAGCACAGTGCCTTCCTCCACACAGGTCTCACAGCATGTTGGAGCTGCCATCTGTTTGATTAGAGTGAAAGAGAGTTAAAAGGGAAGGTTAGGAAGCAGGGACGTGTCAGTTCGATGTGGGGGCAAGAGGGTGTGGAAGATTATACCAAGCTCTACATGACGGTGGAATGAAGATGGACGGAGATGTGCGGAGCATGTAATATGAAGCATTAGCTGGATTTGTGAATGCCATTTACAAATCTGAACTGATACAGCTGTGAAAGACATTCACGTAGCAGAAGGTGTGCAGCTGAATTTTATCAATCCAGCTAGTATCCAGAAAGAAAGGGCATTGTGTGGTGCTTTTCTGAAAATGATTTCTCAAATATATAAACCAGAAGTACAGGTTACATAGCCCTCAAGGGCTTGGCCCTGCAAACTCCTGCCTTTCTCCACTTACAGCAAATTCTGACTGTGTTTATATTACCAATTGGTTTTGAAAAGAAGTACCAGATTCAGCTCTTCAGTGAATTTTCTTATGCATAACCAAATCTTAAATTCTCACGTAACCTGGTCCAACTGTACTAAACATGCAGATTTTGTACTAAAAGTGTGATATTTCACATGGCTGCCTCAGGTCCTGGACTTAATCTGGATATGTACTTTTCTTTTTTCTATTTGTGTAACAGCAAAAGCGGAAACTGAGACTTTATATCTCCAACACATTTAATCCTGCAAAATCTGACGCTGATGACTCTGATGGCAGCATCGCATCGTGGGAGCTTCGAGTGGAGGGGAAGCTCCTGGATGATGTAAGACTTACCTGTGCTTCAATGGGGCTGGCAAGGATCTAGAGATTGTCCTGTAGGGTTATGATGGACTTTACTGGGATCATTAACTCAGAATGGCAGCATTGGCTTGTTTTTGCTGGGAAGACACCATGTCCAACAGAAGGAGTGAAGGATACAAAAACATAGTGGGAATGTTGGAGAGAGTTGGGGAGGGCAGCAGGAAATAGAGCAGACTTAAGGACAGAACAGGTACGATGAGTTGGAGAGAATACTGCTTGAAAGATATGGCAGGATTCAGGCCACGATTGGAGTGGTAAGTCAGGTCTAGAGCAGGCCATTGCATATGGTGAGTGCAAGAGGATGTATGGATGGTCAGAGCAAGGATGGAAAAAAGGTTTTATTAACTAAGTGATCAGAAACCCCTGTGATGGATTTCACTTTCCTCTGGGAGGGCTGGACTTTCCTAATAAAGATGTCACCTATTCACTTTACAAGAAAAGTATTTGATAAGATAAACAGATGGAGATTGTACTTGTGTGGAGACAGAAAAATGTTTAAGACGTGCCTATCTTTCTGGAGATAACAATACATGAATCAGGATCAGAATCTTGCTAGAAAATGAAGGGTAAACAAACTGCAGCATCTGGAAACTGAAGTTAGACAAATTCAGATTAGTAATTAGAGCATAGATTTTAACAACAACAACAAAAAAAACTTTATTGGATAAACTTGCCAATTTTTATTGTGGATCTTCAGTTACTGGCAAATTTTAAATCAAAGAAGTATGTACTTCCAAAATATCTTCTGCATTAGGTAAGAAATCCATTTAAATGCTGTGGACTGTATTCTCCAGAAAGTCAGAATATATGACATAGACCTCCCAGCTTTTAATTTAGACGATATAAACTGCATAGTAAATGGTGAATACTGCTAATTAAATGAAAAGGCAAAATGTAAAGGAAATACTTTTACTTAGGATATGACTAATCTGTAAAAACTTACTGCTATCTGATAAGTCAGAACAATAATTTAGCGTTTATTAAAAAAAATACAAACTGTTAAAATAAAAGGCATACAGTTATCTTGTTCACATCAAAAGGCAGTTCTTTATGATAACATTAAGACAGTCAGGGAAATCTTTCCTTCAGTGTATACTGTTCTACCACTTCTAGATTTTTGCATATTTCCCTGCATTTATCAGAGGGAAATCTCAATTAGATTGTTCACTCTTGTGATCTATATGGGAGTTAAAGTTCAAGAGAAAGAGAAAGCTCAAAAAGGAAGCACAGAACACGGGGTAATATATGCAGTCTTAAACATTTCCTTTTGTTTTGATTATACAGCTAAGCAAGCAGAAACGGAAGTTCTCATCATTTTTTAAGAGTCTAGTCATTGAACTGGACAAAGATCTTTATGGACCTGACAACCACCTTGTGGAGGTAAGAAGTTAATGCACGTTTGCAACAAGCCCAGTACTATAACAGATGAACAGCTATGTGCCTGTTATCTGCCTTGTTTAAGTTACCTTGCCTCCACTGACTTATTTAAGGTGTTTTCAAAGGTTTCAGAATTACAGATGTAGTAGTGATGTAGGGTATCTCTTAAAAGAAGAATATACGTAATTAAAACATTTGTGCGCATTTGTCCTGACAAGCACTAGCATCACAACAGGCTGTACTGTAAGAGCAGAGCAAGAAATGGTGGAGATTTTGCTCGTTTGTTTGTTTGTTTGTTTAATTGCAAGATCTTAAGGAGTCTTGTTACTTGTCTTATTCTTGCTTGGAGTGCTGTGCAAGATTCACATACAGTTTCCCATATCAGTGAAAAAAGACTGACCACGTTAATTTTATTTCCTTTGGCAGTGGCACAGAACTCCCACAACTCAGGAGACTGATGGCTTCCAGGTGAAAAGACCTGGTGATGTCAGTGTGCGGTGCACATTACTCCTCATGTTGGATTACCAGGTCAGTGCGTTGCTTTTGCTATGGAGAATACATCCATTGGGGCATAGAACAAATTCATCAGAACAAAGCAAATTCATCCCCTTACATACCTCAAAAGATAATATATTTGGAAACAAAACTTCACGTGGTTGAAAGAGGTTAGAATGATACCAAACTGCCAGATGATTTAAAATATTAAGGGGACACATAAAGTAAGTTTTTGCTGTAGTCTAGCAAAATATTATTCTTGGCATGATGGTGATTAGTAACACCTGCAGAAAGTATATGCATTTCCTCCTCAGGCTTCTTACAACATAGTAAGATAAGATGCACATGAGGTGTGTGTGTGGGGGGGGGGGGGGTCCTACACATTGCAGTTCAAAAGAGTGGCTATTGCTAGTGATGCCTGAACCAGCTGTGTAGCTGTGGCAGCATTTTTTTCAGAGCAGACCACACAGATTTCTGGGGTTATTAAACTTTGGTTACATTGTCACTATAATCTGGTATAAAACATTGCCCTGGAAGGGATAGACTCAAGTCCAGGCATTTCTTCTTCCTCTCTTTTGTCAGTACTAGTTTGATTGTATTAGTAATATTTGTGGGCTGAACACACAAAAAAAAAAGTCAGGGAATTGATTCATTTCAGAGTTAGCAAAGCTTAGTTCCAAATCAGTTTTCTGATTGCAGTCACGGGAAACAAACAAAAAACAACAACAAAAAGCAAAGGAGGATAAATAAGGATATTCTGCAAAAAGGGAAATAAAGGAAATGGAAACAGAAAAGGAAAGGGAAAGGAGAGTGGGAAGGGAAGGGAAGGGAAGGGAAGGGAAGGGAAGGGAAGGGAGAGGTCACTGTCTTAAGGAAAAGGATAAAAATGCACTGCTGTGAAGAGATAGGATCTCCCTTTTCAATGGCAGTTCAGTCTTAGATACATTTTTATTGTATAACTTTAAGAATTCATTGTGCGCCATTCGCTTCCCCCTCCCCAATGCAAATGGCATCTATCCAGAATAAAGACACTACATTTTATGTTTATAGGAAATTTTACTTATCTTAGGGAGTGTGTGAGCTAACTGGGATATCAATAGAGCCAGTAAGAATCCTTATGGCTAGGAAAATATCATTAGAGTTTGTTATGTTCACCATTACTATAAATTTATTCTTTTAAATAGATGTTCTCTTATCCTGAAGTCCTGTTATAAATCTGGCTTTGGGTGTCCAGGCACCCAACAAGGTAATCCTTGCTGAAGAATGTGACAAATATTAAATATGAGCATGGGTACACCTGAAGAAGCACCAGACTCTAAGGTGTCTAAGGAATTAGAGATGTAAAAGAGAGTAATTGAAGAATTGTAACACAGAGGTCAGGAGAAGAAATATATTCCATTGAGTAGTTGTGGTCAGGTAAATTTTCTGTTTTGCAGCAGAATGTTGGGAACATGCTGGGAAAACAGAGTTCCAAGGGAATTTGTTGGTAGGAGGCAGCTGATCAATTGTTAGGAACAGCAGAAGCATCATCCTGACTTCATGCTCCCTATCTGGTTAATCTCCAGTATTTCAGAGGAAGGACCATTCTTCTTCATCTCCTGCTTCCTAAAGTCAGATTATGCATCAACAGTAAACAGGAAAATTATTTTCTGACTCTGCAAGCACCTCGTTATCTAAAGCATGTGATTTAGGTAGTCTTTGTGCATAGCACATGAACAATGTCCGTCTTTCTTTTTCAAATGCTAGACATAGCTGTTCCAGAGCACGACCGTGGTACACATCCGGGCAGTTTACATTTCTATAACCTACCACTGACTGGGGTATTTCACCAGAGGAACAAAGTCCCTAAAGAACTGAAGCTGAAAATCTCGATCAGTGCATGCATCTACTTTTTTCTCCATTGCCATCTCTCCCTTCTTCTCTTTCTGTTGCAGCCTCCACAGTTTAAACTGGACCCACGATTAGCACGTTTGCTGGGGATACACACACAGACCCGATCTGCCATCATCCAGGCTCTCTGGCAGTACATCAAAACAAATAAGCTGCAAGACTCCCATGACAAGGAATACATTAATTGTGACAAGTACTTCCAGCAGGTATCTCCTATTTGGACACAGCTATTCAGAGGCAATCTATAATATCCATCTGCAAATTTTGGATGGACAGAAATTACTGAATTTTGTTTTCCCTTAATAATTTGCGGTTTCTTCAATGCTGAATGGCTTTCAACAGACACTGTAACAAATATAGTAAATGCCTCCATGTGCAGTGTTGTCAAAAAACACATCAAGGTGGTTCCTCACTCCTAAAAAAGTCATAGCCTTTCCAAGAAGAAAGGGTCTAATTGATTTACTTGTTTAATTGCAAATTAGGTTTTGGACAAGGATAAAATGCTTTTATTATATTCCAGATCTTTGACTGTCCCCGGCTAAAGTTTTCTGAAATTCCTCAGAGACTCACTAACCTACTGCTGCCTCCAGACCCTATAGTGATAAACCATATCATCAGGTAAGCTGATCAGTCAGCTCAGCACTGTCACATGCAAATCATACACTGTCTAAAACAGAGAAACTGCTGTGGTTGCCGGGACCAGAATCCAGGTTTTCTAACATCCAAGTGAGTGCTTTGGACTGTGTGTTAATTCTTTATGTCTGTAAAGTTACGAATTATTTTCAGTAGAGTGGCACTCTACTTTTCTTTGCTTAAAATGCAAAGAAGTCCTGGGGGCAAGATCGTGTGTGTTAGATAGAAGCTAAAGAAGAGGACCTTGTGTATAGTAGCTTCTCTGATACACTGTGTGCATCATGCAGCACCTGGCAATATTACTCTGCAGTGACATAGTGACATAAAGCTGTGGATAGGGGGAAGTATTAATGTGCTGAGAGTAGGTGGTACTTTTTCAATAGAGTCTTTACAGTCTCAGGCAAAGCAAATAGAAATCTGGCACTGAATGTAATGGGAGTAAGTAAATTTTCAGACTGCTAAAGGAACAGAATAGTGTAGAGTGGAAGGTATCATTTGTGGTCATCTGAGGCTTCTCCCCTCCCAACAGCATTTTCGTCCTGCTCTTCAGACACCATCCATGCTTTTTGTTAAAGAAAATAACAAAAATGCAATGGAAATTAAATAGAGTTAAACAGAAAGCTGTTAGTATGGGTAAATACTTTAAATGGTAGATAGACTGAAAGAGGATGCAGTAGAAAATAGTAGTGTTTTTATCTCTGCAATACTGAGTGCACCAGATTTAAAACTCATAGCAGTAAAATATTCTTACCTGAGCTCAATCTAGAGCTGGAGCTTTTCTTGAATTTTACTCCTCATTGTTGCTGACAGACTTGAAATCAGAGGTAGAAAGAGAAACACATGGCATTTCCCATTTCTGCAAAGAAACAAGTCATCTCCCACGCTCTTAACATTGCACAAGAATACTACAAAGCGTAGGTCTCCAATATTCTTATATTGCAAACAAGTTAGTATTTGATTCCTCCCTTTTGATTACCATCATGATTTATATAAAAATTAAAAAAAAAAATTCTTACATTGAGTCAGTTTCCCATGTTACAAGGGGTATCTGTTGCCTGTTGCTGTGCACCTCCAAGAAGAGCCTTGCTCTGTCTTCACTGTACCTCCCATAGGGCAGTTGCACTCAGCAATAGGATCTCCTCTTCTCTGTCTCTTCTTAAGGCTGGACAAATGCAACTCTTGCAGCTTCTCTTGGTGTAGGCATTAGGTATTACAAAGCCCTGGAAGCAGTAGTAAAGGACTCGGGAGCACAGGTAGATTTTTCATCAGTCCTGCCAGTCAAAGGAGAGGGGATTTAAAAGGCCGGTTGAATCTGGCAAATCAACAGATAGTTGCGTGACTGGTGCCGCAGGCAGGGGTTCAGCTAGCTAGACCGTGGGACTCTCTTTGAGAAACCTGATCTGCTGGGGCTGATGGGGATCCACCTGTCAGAGAAGTGGAAAAAGCATCTTTGATCATAGGCTTGCCAAGCTGGTGAAGAGGGCTTTAAACTATAGTTGCCAGGGGAGGGGAATCTCAATCCATCCCTCTCCTCCCAGTTTGATGCCAGTGTCAGTGACAGATGCCCAGAGTCTGGAGGAGGGTCACAAATCAGCAGAAGAGAACCTGAAGACCAGCACAAAAGAAGTCCACCACTCCAGCCAGTAAGTCAGCTTCATCACGGGCCCAACTTAAATGTCTGTATGCTAATGCACATAAACAGATAGAAGCCTCATGTTCGCAAGCCCTGGTTCTCATGGAGGACTTCAGCCCCCCTGACATCTGTTGGAGGGACAGCACGGTAGGGCCTAGGCAATCCAGGAAGTTCCTGGAATGCACTGATGACATCCTTCTCCAAGTGACAGAGAAGCCAACAAGGAGAGGTGCTATGCTGGATCTCATTCTCACAAACAAGGAGGGTCTAGTGGGGAATGTGAAACTCAAAGGCCGCCTTAGCTGAAGCAATCATGAAATGGTGCAGTTTTGGATTCTGAATGCAGCAAGGAGGGAGCACAGCAAACTTGCTACCCTGGAATTTGGGAGAGCAGACTTTGTCCTCTTCAGGGATCTGCTTGGTAGAGTACCATGGGACAAAGCCCTGGAGGAAGAAGTGGTTAAGAAGTCATAGAATCACAGAATAGTTTGGGTTAGAAAGGATCTTAAAGATCATCTAATTCCAACCACTTCCCTGGGCAACCTGTTCCAGTGCCTCACCATCATCTGAGTAAAGAATTTCCTTCTTAGAGCTAATCAAAACCAACCCTTTTTAGTTTAAAGCTGTTATTCCTTGTCCTATCACTACACTCCCTGACAAAGAGTTGAACAGTTTCCCAGGGAAGCTGTGGATGCTCCATCCCTGGAAGTGTTCAAGGTCAGGTTGGATGGGGCCTTGAGCAACCTGATCTAGTGGGATGTGTCCCTTCGCATGGCAGGGGGTTGGAATTAGATGATCTGTAAGGTCCTTCCAAGCCCAAACCATTCTGTGATTCCATGTGCTCCAGTCCCCAGCCATTCTCATGGCCTGATGAGGGACTCACTACAGTATGTCATGTCTTCCTTGTCCTGCACCCAGAAGTCAAGATACACAAGTGTGGCATAGCAGGAAATAGGTTCTTTCCTTTCCAGAGCTGATTTCTGCTCAGTTGATGCCCACCTGTACCAGTGCATGGGATTGTTCAGAGCAGAACTTTGTATTTGCCTGTGTTGAACCTTATGATGTTGAATTGCTGTCCTCATTATTCAACTTGTCAAGGTTTTTCACAATAGCCCTGCTCCCCCAACTCCGTCCTAGGCTCAGGGGCAAGGGAGGCCTGAGAACACAACTTACCAGGACAAATGGAGGCAAAAACACCATTGAGCACCTTGCCCTTTTCCATGTCTTCTAACCCCTGAAGGTTATCTTGTCCAACCGCCTCCCTGGCTCATGCAGGGCTCCTTAGAGCAAGTTGCCCAGGACTATGTCCAGGCAGCTTTTGAAGATCTCCAAAGAGGGAGATTCCACAATATCTGTGCCAGTGCTTGGTCACTTCTCACAGTAAAGATGTGTTTCCCGATGTTCAGGGGAAACCTTCTGTACTCGAGTTTGTGCATATTGCCACTCATCTCTGTCCACTTCAGACCATTGAAAAGAGCTTGGTTCTGTTCTCCTTGCATACTGTCTTCAGGTATTTATATCTACAAGGGTAAACCCCCCCGAGCTTTCTCTTCTCCAGACCGAACAGTTCCAGCTCTCTCAGCCTTCTCTTTTAGCAGAGCTGCTCCAGTCCCTTCATCATCCTCGTGGCTCTTCTCTACACTCTGTCCAGTATGTCCATGTCTCTCTTGTGTTAAGGAGCCTAGAACTAGGCACAGGATTCCAGGTGTGGACTCACCAGTGCTGAATACAGAGGGAGAGGATTATTCCTCTCAACCTGCTGGAAACACCAGTAATACAAATCCATCCATGCAAGACCTCCTTCTCCCCCAGATCTAACAAGTTCAGTTAGATCCTGAGTCCTTTTTTTTTTTATTACTTCCTGCAGCAGGTGCACACGACCGAGATATTTCAAAAATAATGTTCTGAAGGAGCATTTTTATATTACAAGTGACCATGACTGAAGTTTTATTTATCAGCTACTGGGTTGACAAAGTTTTCTTGCTAAGAAATTTCAACTTAAAGCTAAAGAGAAAATGGCAATTAAGCCTAAAACCCAACAAGTTAAAGGTACCCTGTTCTTAAACTCTTCTCACAGCATCTGCAACAGTTTTTTTGAAAGAGTATTTTCTGGGCTGGATGGCTATTTACTCTGACTCATTATGTCAGTTTTCACAATCTTCTATTATCCTCTCCATAGTGTTGACCCCAATGATCAGAAGAAGACGGCTTGTTATGACATAGATGTAGAAGTTGAAGACCCATTAAAGGGACAGATGAGTAGTTTTCTTCTCTCAACAGCTAATCAACAGGAGATTACAGCATTGGACAACAAGGTACTGCCCCAGTATCACGTGGCATATGTATACACGTTTTATAACTTCCTGGGGGTTTGGTGCCGTATATCAAAGGGACTAATGTGAGAAAGGGATTGCTCATTTAGATGTGCTTTCAAGGGTTGAATAAGTCACATGCAATGGAAATACAGTGGGGTGGGTGGGGTTTGCTCTTAAGATTTAATCCAGGGCCTGATATAGTTGTAAAAATGTTACAAGTGTTTCGCAGGCAGCATAATGAGTACCCTGGCAGGCAACATAAATTATGTGCCAGTCTAGGTGTTGTAGGATTTCAGATCTTTCTGAACTAGTTAGTAAATCTATTGTGCTCTGTGGAAAACTAACAGGTCTTGTTTGTAACTAAAAACATGTTAGAGCAGGCAATGTGGATCAAGCATGGTCTTCCAAGGTATGTGTTAGGAGAATTAGGCTGGATCTTACAGCCTGAGAGAGGCAAGGCTGCCACGGCTCCATTATCCCAGATCCAACCAGCAACGAGGCTGAGCATGTATTCCCAGGAGGCATGCACACACACACATGCACCCATGCATGCGTATACGCCACGTGTATATATATATATACATATATATATATATACAGGGCCAGCCACACAGATCAACACAGTCAGGATACAGAGAGACCTCACATGAACACAAAGATAACCAATAATCTCATCCTGATCCTCTCTCTGGCTGAACTCCGTGGAGGGCCGTTAGTGGGGGTATGTCCCTCTGGCAGCTGGTCTCAGACACTTTGTCTACCCACTGGCTGCCTCTGGATCCCAGTCTCCCAGTTGCTGGCACTTGGCCATAAAAGCCCCAGAGGCTGCAGCCGCACTCCCAATGTTCATACAGACACAGGCACATCCACACAGAGGCACAAACATACCCATACACACACACGTACATTCGCAGCTGGCTGGGAGTCTCTTGGTCCCCCAGTTGCCACTTCCCTGTGGTCTTACCCTTCGATGTGTGCACACATACAAACACCACTGGGTCTTGTCCCTAGCGACCCTCAGACCCCACGGTTCCTCCAGTGGCTGACTGAGATTCCTTTGGTCTGTCTGACTGCCAGCTTCTCCTGTGGTCTCATCCTTACAGACACGTACCCCACCATGGCTCCCAGACCACCTTACCTACTTGCTGACTAGTTCAGCTTGTTCTTTGCCAGTGCTCACACATTCACGCACCTGCACTGCTGCAGGTGCCAGCACTCAGGCACATGGGCCTCCAAACCATGGTCTTGCTGCAGTTGCTGGCACATAGAGCTCCCCCCATACATAAAAATGGAGTTCCTCACTCAGGAAAAGAGTTAAAAATGGAATCTGGTAACACAGTAGGACAGATAGCTCTGGTCAGGCATAGAGATGGCTGGACAAGCATATCAACGAGCAAATCGTTCACACACAACCAGTGATTTTTAGCCCTTTATATATCTATTTTCCCACAGTTGTGCCTCCCTGAATCACGCAGATCCATCCCTTTTCTCGCATTTGATTAATTCCCTAAAAGTGCCATGTCAAGTGCAATCCCAAGATGCTCTTACCCTAGATCCTATAATGTGTCCCATAACACATAGGCAGCAACCCTCCAAAAATGCTCTGGTATTCAGACTTTGTGGATGTTGTTGTTGGATTGCTCCATGAAGTTCAATATGGGCAGAGTTTGACTACCTAACCTTTTCCTCAGCGCACAAGTTTGTCAAGTTTGTCCTCAGCGCACAAGAGACTCGTTACTCTTTTTTTTTTTTAATGAGGTTCCTGAGTTAACACAGTCAAATCACCACCTAGTATTTTACATCCAGATCTTACTTTCTTCTAATCTGGCACAAAAAAAAAAAAAAGATGCAGCTTTGAAAATATAAGAAGTAGACAATTAAGACTAGCATCACAGATTTTTTTTTTTCTTTTTGTTATGCTGAGAATCAGAAGCAACTAAGGAAAGTAAAGAAGGTGTTTGGTAAGCATAGCAAGCAGCAGCAGCCTTCTTCTGGATATAAATAAGGTGGGATTACAGTTAGCAAGACCAAAGAGAAAAATGTAATTGTAATTAAAACGTATTACAGGAATTTTAACTTCTGCATCTTATGATATGAAAATCTCTATCTTAGAAAAAATATGAGAAAAAAAAAATAAAGTCAGACATTATTTGGATATGGGAACCAGAGATGCTAAAAAATTGAAGATGAGAACAAAGTTGCCTAGGCTGAGTTAGAGAAGTAGTGGGAAAGTTTTGATACTCAAAAGACTTGGGGTTATGAAGAAGGATTAGCTGTGGAAGAATAACAGGAGCAATTTTTTTTGCGGAAGTGCAAATTGATAAGTCTGTATCCATCCTAGTTGCCCCATCCCTGGAAGTGATGAATGCCAGGTTGGATGGGGCTTTGAGCAACCTGGTCTGGTGGAAGGTGCCCCTGCCATGGCAAGGGGGATTGGAAGTAGATGATCTTGAAGGTACCTTCAAGACTATAGGTCCCTAGAAGGTCCCTAGACTACAACATTTTATTGAGAGGTCATAGTGTCTTGCTATATTGATATGAGGGGAAGCTAAGAGAATCTCATATTCTTTTAGTGTGCTGGGCATTGCATTGCTGCAGAGCAGCTCACTAGACTAGCTGCAACTGTAGAAAATTAATAGTAGAAAAATCACTTGGAACGGTTTTGCAGAATTGTTTCCTGGTTTATTGAACAAAGATTATGTGCACTTAAAATAACCATACCTCTCTTATAGCAGTGGTGAGCTCTGCAGGCTGCATTAGAGATTCATGTCAAGGGAAGGGGACTGTTAGCCAGTTTTTTGCACGAGTGTAAATGGCTGATTTGCCCTGGCAAAGGATAAATAAAAGTGGCTCCACAAACAAAGGGAAGAAGTGTGATATCATAGACCAGAGATTATTCACGTGATACAGAGTCATGCTAAGTTTCTGTTTGTTTACATCTAACACAAATTTGTTAAACTGTTGTCCTCATACTGTTTTAAAGAGAGTTTGGATACCAGCAGTCCTGCAGATTTTTGGTAACCGTTGCAAGATCTGCCGTTCTGTGGTTCTTGGAAAAGGTCAAAGCAAAAGGTTTCAGCAGAGCAGCTGCTCAGCCAGTTAGTTTCCAGCCTATATGTGCTTTCATGCAGCATGCTAAGGATTATTAGGTTTCCAGTCCAGCTCCCCCTTTACCATGTCTTTATCACCTTTTTATTGAGCATTTTCTGCAGCAGAGCGCAAGCTGTGATTAGTGAAGTTACTGAAGTCACTTCTGGGTAAGTCACCTAGTGGAAAACTGGTGCACACCAATAGGAGATTTCTCTCTAGCATTGGCTACATCATTTTCCCACATGAGGAACGTTTTAAGTTGACAGCCGTTCTCTTCTGTTAACATACCATACGGTTCTGCGTACAATGCCCTTAGTGGCATAGCCAGATCATGGGAGGATTATTTTCCTCCCTCTGTGTCTGGCCACAGTAGATGTTTTGGCAAAATAGATGTGGACAGGAGATTTAACAAGATGGGTCTGCAATCTCAAAACAGAATTTTAGAGAAACAGGATAGTAAGAGGTTGCTTTTCTGTTTAGGTATGTGCAAATGATTCATTAGTTGTCCTCCCATTGATCACAATTGATTTTGTTATCCAGGTTGATTAACATACCTTGACTCCTCTTTGTAGTGTATATTCTTCCCTGCTAGTTAATGACCATTTCTTTCATAATATTTTTGATGATATGACTCATTTTCTATAAACCTTCCATACTCACAGTTTCTCATTATTCACACTCCTTTTGTAGCCATGGTGACGTTAATAGTCTTTCTTACAAGAAAAATTCTAGAAGTCATGGCTGTTATGTAAGTTTATTTAACATGGATTTGATCGGGCGATCACTAGAACAAAGTTTAGGCATCACCACAGGATATTGAAGGTATAATGTTGACTGACCAAGGGAGTAACTGCTTTCTTGCATTGGGCAATACGTAAAGACATTATATAGCACCTTTCCAGAAAAATCCCTGACTTCTCAAAAAGACTGCTTATACGCAGGAAATCATTGCATTATACAGTGACATGACTTAGCTCTTCAGTATTGCATGTAGCGTGCCATCCAGTAGTTCAGTGCAGGAAGTGAAGAAGAATCCTGTATGTGCTTATGTTGCAAAAATACATGTGAAACCAAAATGTAATTGCAACACTAGGGTTAACTCCCACTCTGAAGAGAAAATTCCATGGGATGAGTCTTTGGTGTAGAATTGTCACCTTTGTATATTACAGAGAACTACAAAGACATTAACAGGACTGACCTCAGGGTTGCAGAAACATGAGAGGAATTAAAGAACATCTGCTTTATTTTTTCTTCAGATTCATGAGACAATCGAATCCATAAATCAGTTAAAAATACAACGTGATTTCATGCTGAGTTTCTCCAAAGATCCTAAAGGGTACATCCAAGACCTTCTTCGATCCCAAAGTAGGGATCTTAAGGTGAGCTAAGGCTGAAGAAGAATGAAGAAGTGAAACCAGAATGTAAGAACATTAGTTAAATGTGTACAGATGTATAGCTAAAATATCCAGGATGGAAAATTGGTGGAAAAAACGATGAGTGTAATACTGCTATCCCAGAGCAGAAAGTATGCAGGAAAGACCGGTTAGGCTGTATTTCTCTTCTAGTGGTATAGCAGTGCATAATGGGGATTGTAGGTGAATTTGTGGTTAGACAGTAAGATCAAAGTGCAGAGATGTGTTGGTGTACTCTGTAAAATTAAAGCTATATAAAACTAATCAGGAGGATCCTATAGCAAAATAACACTATTTGGGTGTTTTATTAGTTTTCAAAATGTAATCTTATTTAAGAAATAGCAGAATAAGTATCAGATGCCTTTGAGTTTAGTTTTGAGAAACCCAAGGTATGTAATGTAAGGAATTTCATTTGTTTGCCAGCCAAAAAGAATATTTTTCTCATAAAGTTTCACACTTTGTATCTTTAAATCAGATGCATCAAAACCCATTATGTTAATGAAGTCAGGAAATTATTTTTATGTAATAATTATCTTTCAAATATAAATGTCTTGTTTGTTAATCAATAATGTTGCAAAGATTTACTGTTAAGATTATGATTGTTGTTATTCTTTATATTCAGAAAGGGAATGGACATCTAAAAGCATGTTTAAATATACTTGTAGCTTGAAGAGCTTACAAACTGAAGTGTGGTGGTGGTGCTTCTCTAGTTGCATATATGGAACAGTTGTTCAATGCTCTCCCTGACTGACATCCAGTTCCAAAAGGGCCTTTTTGGTAATACTCTGCCCTGCTGGCATCAGAACTGACGTTGTAAAACAGTACCCTGCAGAATATGCCAATAATTTTACATTTCAGTCTGACATGAATACCTTCACAATTTCCTGTTGTTTACAGTTGTGCCAAGGTTCTTTGGATATATCTGCAAGTAAAATATACAGTGCTAGGGTACTTTTCCTGGGACCCTGGAACTAAACTGTCAATGCTGTTAAAATGTTAGAGATCTGTGGCATTTAGTCTGGCCAGTCCTGAATGACTCCTTAGCACAGCCTAGAAGCAAATGTTAGGAGCTGTTCAGTTTGGATGTGGACACCTTGTTTTGGCAGTAACCATGAATTAGAGAGTCATAGAATCATAGAAACACAAGGTTGGAAAGGACCTACAAAATCATCTAGTCCAACTGTCCTCCTATCACCAGTACTTCCCACTAAGCTACTACATTATACCTTGTAGCACCTTGTCCAGGCGCTTCTTGAACACTGTGAGGGATGGTGACTCCACCACCTCCCTGGGCAGGCCGTTCCAGTACCTGACCACTCTTTGAGAGAAAAAGTTTTTCCTGATACCTAATCTAAATCTCCCCAGGCACAACTTGTGGCCATTTCCTCCAGTCCTATCATTAGTTATCTGAGAGAAGAGGCCAACCCCCTCCCCATCACAGCCTCCCTTCAGGAAGTTGTAGAGTGCAATGAGGTCTCCCCTGAGCCTCCTCTTCCCCAGGCTAAACAATCCCAGCTCCCTCAGCTGGTCCTCATAAGACTTATTCTCCAGAACCCTCACCAGTTTTGTTGCCCTGGACACACTCCAGGGTCTCAATATCCTCCTTGTAGTGAGGGACCCAAAACTGAACCCAGTACTTGAGGTGCAGCCTCACCAAAGCTGAGTACAGGAGGACAATCACTTCCTGCTCCTGCTGGCTACACTATTTCTAATACAGGCCAGGATGTCGTTGGCCTTCTTGGCCACCTGAGCACACTGAAAGCTCATGTTCAGCTGAGCATTGATCAACACTCCCAGGTCCCTTTCCTCTTCAAGGCTATGTCCAATGCATGCCATTGTCCATTTGCCTTGGGCATAGAGATCAGTCCTGAGAATTTTAATGCAGTAGTGTCATTAATTTTTGACTCTAGGTAAATGTAAATGTTTCTCCATGTGGTAGAATAGCTATAGTGAAAAGTATTTTTATTTTTGTCACAGGTGATGACTGATGTAGTTGGAAACCCAGAGGAAGAACGCAGAGCTGAATTTTATCATGAGCCATGGTCTCAAGAGGCTGTGAGCAGATATTTCTACTGCAAGGTGTGAAGGAATTAGCCACGTGGATAATTCATAAATGAGTCATCCTACCACTGAACAATAGAATCTGCTGAACTGCACAGTTTCTCTTTTTCTTTCAGATTCAGCAGCGCCGGCAGGAACTGGAACAGTCTCTGGGAGTGCGCAACACATAAGTATTGCTCAAAAGATCCCATTGGCATCATGACCACAGAACGAGTGGACTTCTCAGTGTTACTTAGCTCACTGTTACACATGGACCTGCTTCCTGACTGGATGGGAATGTACCATCGACAAACCAGTCAGAACACCAGCTTTAGAGTGACCTTTGAAAAAACTGCCCACGGGAGGTGTCTCAAACCATTCCAGGCCATAGACAGCAGAAGATTCCTGTGCTCCATACAGGTGTCAATGTTAAAGAAGATTAAAGATTCATTCATCAACCGGCATCATTGAGTTCCAGTGGAAAGTTCAGACACTACACAGCAAATCCTTATGGGCTATGCATAGAATCATGGGTGGTATTGATGGGGGAGGTTGAGTTGAGTGTTGTAGGAGACTACAGATTAAGAGAAATAAAGGTAATTCTCATTCTGTTACCTAAGATTCTCAAATAGTAACTTCTCTGGAATAAGACAAGATAGTCCTGATAGCTGTGGAATGCTTTGCGTTCCTGAACAGAGTTTTCACTTCAGCTGGACCAGTGTAAGAAGCCATCGCACCGTGTGAAATAACAAACTAGGATGATTTTCAATCCTAGAATGAAGAGCCTCTCTGGAAGGAAAAAATATAGTCAGGACATTTCTTCTGCAAACTTTAATACTTCCTCTTTCCCTTGCCCCTGCAGTGAAAGGTAGACTGAATTATGTATCACTAGACAGTCTCATGGGTATGATCAACATGCAGTACAAAGAGGAAGAAAACTATCTCCAGCATGAGAGCCTCTTAGGCATTCTTAGTATTAGTGGGGTTAGAAAAGCTGAAGTTGAAGCAAGAAAAAAGGCATTCTTAGAAAATGCAAATAACCTAATGGTGCTTTGCTGATACCTGCCTTGAACACAGTGGGTATTAACAATAAGTCTATAGGTAAATACGAGATTTCTTAAACATTTCTCTCCTTATGTGCCATTAGGGATCAGGACTGAAAAAAAAACTTCCCTAACTGTAAAGTTGATTTAGAATCCAAGAGGCTTAAACTTCATGTAACATGTCAGTTTTCTCTTTACTTCAAGATGTCAACAGAGTTCCTGGATTAGTCTCACATTTTGATCATAGGTAAACTGCCTCTTCCTATTCAGTTCCCCCATACATGATATGTGCTAGTTGTATAAGATGCTGTTGAGTTTTGAAGCCTTAAATAGCATAGAGGAACTATCCCTTAGAAATCACCTTGTTTTCAAATATATGACAAATTCAGACTATCAGAATTACAACATATTTAGCTGGAACCAGGGACATCTTCATTAAATCCTTCCCCCCATTCCACCTTTTGTAGTGCATAGATTGGTTTGTAATTAATGATCCAGCATGTTTTCTAGTCTAAAAAGCAGCTGCCAAAGTATAACTGTGTCCTGATAATGTAGCACTCAAAATCCTTTTCTAGGCTTCTCCTCTTCATCTCCTTTCTTTCACTTTCCTGGAAAGAGAGTCAAGTTCACATGTGTTAAGGAAGGGAGGCAGCTCTTCTAAGTAATTAATTTTGCTATGGTATTGTCCTTTTCTCTTCTGCTGTCTTTGCTGATTTCTTTCATATTTGAAAGAAAAGTTTCTTCTGTCTAGTCACAGAAGAGAGAGTCTTCCCTCCCACCCCTTTATTTAATACCTCTGCTTTCACATTACCAGTGCCATAGCTTTTACTCTGTCCACTGCGTTCAGAGGTGTCTTGAAAAATTTACATATGATTGGTCATATGATGGCAGTACAACCATGCAAAACCACTGGTGTAAGGAAAAGCACAGCTGTACCTCTTTGCCCAAGGCCTTTTCCTGGGAATGGCTTGGCTTGGATTTTTTTGTGTGTGTGTTATAACCTCTTTTTTACACTAAAACCTGAAATCCTGCAGTCTTAAATTGGTAGAGACTGAGAGGTTGCCAAACAGTTAACAACTTAAAATCTTATGTGCTGTAGGACTCTGCTAATTGGACTACCAGCAAACACTGAGGGAAAACAGTGGGGATCATCTGCTACTGTGCTTCCGTATTTGTTACGCTGCTGTGTCAGTTGTGTGCATGCTGTCCAGTGTATAAAACTTTTTCTGTATGTGGTAAACAGAGCAGCTACATTCAGGGGATGTATTCAGATCTCCAGGAGTAATAAATGCCGAGAAAAATAAACGAGGATATGAGAAAGGAATGGGGTGGGATAGATGCCTGCAGGATGTCTGCCAGTGAATTTTATTTTTGAGAACTTTGCCATATGAATGGCAAATATTTGTACAGAAAAAATCCAGTCATATGCCACAGCTGGCAAAATAATGGAGCCCAATCTGCTTTTAGAATCTCTCTTTAAAAATAATTGTATAGGTCTGTTTCCAAGCCTCTTTCAGAACAAAGTAATGAAACAATGTGTTGCTGACCAGTGGATTCCAAGCAGCACCGCTGGAATGTGAAGCAATGTTAAGCACCAATGCTATGCTGAAGTGTATACACACGTATGTGTTTGTGCACACGCATGCTCGTGCATGATTTGGCCACTGTACATAGCAATCCAAAATTCAAAAATACGAATCCAAAATTCATATATCTCACTGTACATATTCTTCCTGCCCATAAATACTTGTCACCAAAGAAGAGTCTTAGGAATAGCTGTCAGGTGTCTTCATTTTGATTAAAATGGTGTTTGAGATTTTGATTCTTTTATTCCATGCTCAGAAGCAGTTTGAGCCTTTTACTGAAGAGACATAGAGAGAAATGTTATCTTCCATTCCAGGAGTGTAGCCAGGAGCTTGCTTTTAGCAAAAACAGACATTATATTTGAGGAGAAACAATTGGACAATTCTGGGAGGAACTGGACCAAATGCAGCTTGGGCATGTGGAAATGAAAGTCGGTAGTACTGAATAGGCATGTAATTCCAGCAGATTTTGAATGATAAATTTATTTTAATTTCAGGATGGGGGCTTTTTTGGGTGTTAAAGATGACAAGACTGTTACTTGTGGTCTTTGGTTTCTGCCACGGTACGATACAAATCTGTGCATACTGCAATAAAAAAATATATATATGTGCATAGATGTAGTTAAATTTATAGATGACAATATAGATGATTGTTAGAAAATATAGCATAAAACTAGGACAAGGTTAAAACAATTCCTGGAGTACCAGTAGAAGGGAAATATATCTTGGAGCTGAAGCGTTGGCATGGCAGTTAAAGGAAAAACAAGTGTTTGTGGAAGCAAAGTGCCAGAATAGAGAGAAGAATACAGCAGTGGTAAAAGGAAAGAGAAAGGTGGGAGCCACTGAAGTGCCATTAAGTCAAAGCACAGGATAACATGCAGATTAATGTTGGAACTAGCACAGTCTATGTGATTTTGTATATTTTGTGTGCATGTGTATATGTATACATATAGAGGGCAGGAGCAAGAGTCAGTCTCAACTGGTACAGAGCTTGGGAAATGGGCATGCAGGGTACAGCCAAATGTTCTGCATTTAAGTTCTGAGACACATTGCCAAAACTTCTCCTACTGTTATCAGTAGGGATTCAGCTATTTCACTTATCAGCATTGGCAGTTCTAGTGCACGCATGGTTTCAGCTGACAGCTTTTCTACACCACACTGTTTAGAATTTATTCTGATGAAGCTGAGTGAAATTATTGGTGTATATCCTAGGGCTTCGAATTTTGCTTAAAATGTAGTCAGGTGGTGGTTTCTTTTCTTTTTTCTTTTTCTTTTTTCTTTTTCTTTTTCTTTTTCTTTTTCTTTTTCTTTTTCTTTTTCTTTTTCTTTTTCTTTTTCTTTTTCTTTTTCTTTTTCTTTTTCTTTTTCTTTTTCTTTTTCTTTTTCTTTTTCTTTTTTTTCCTTTTTAACCTCTTTGTGTTGAGAGCCCTTTTAATGGCAGTGCAAAGAGATGAGTGGGGAAAAAAAAAGGCTCCTTTCTTCCTGAATAAGGAGGTCTCCTTTCTGTAACTGCTCTGTTGTTTAATAGGCTGTATCTGTTCTGCCAGATCCTGTATGATAAACACCTTTTCTGATCTCACTGAAGAAAAGTACTCCATTAAAAAGAAAACTGTGGGTTTGGGAGTGAGCAAATACATGCATAAGGAGAGGTGGGGGAGAGACTCCCTCTGCTCTGTAGTCACCTTATCTTCACTGTTGGATGCTGAGTGAGTCGTAGAAAAGCTTTTAACAATAAATACTTTGTTTCTTTGTACCTCTTGCCCTTACCTTATGCCTCTTAAAAAGAAAACTTCATTTCTTTTGTGTAAAAGTAATGCTGGAAGATTTTTTTCACACATTTCTTTTACAGAAAATTTTACCTAAGGATTAGGAAGATCTCACTTTCTATGGGAAACTGCTTAGAGACCTGGGAACTACAGATCAATCCAAGGCCAATTAATGACACACATTTACACCAGTCCATGGTGTGGAAGTGATACATGAGATGTTACTCTCTGGGCTCTGCTACTGATATGAGGGATAATTTGGTGCAGTTGGTTTCTTCTTACTCCTGATGAAGACTCTAATGGTCTCAAGTTTCTGGATTTCTGTCCACATGTATGTGCACACGCATAAGGAGGGACATACACATACAGGTTTTAAGTGGACTTGACAACAATGAGAGCTGTGTCACCAAGTTTAATCTTCTGGTGCTGTTTCCATAATGAATAAGTGATGAAGATGGGAAATCCTTAACGTTGGAGAGGTCTGGTTTCTTGCTTGGTCATTCGGTGTACAATTAGCACCATTATTATTAGTTTTAATCAATAAAGAAGTTGCAGCTGGGGCTAGAGCTTGGATGCTGAGAGGAGGCTGGAGAAAGCTATGCAAACAGCTAGCAGACTTCCAACAGAGGTTCCATACAAACAACCAATAATATTAGAAACATTTGACAGGATGAACAAGCTGCAATTCACCAGCTCAATGAAGAGTTTTTATTTGTTTGTTTTAAGGGTCAAAATTTCTTAGCTCAATAGACTGTCAAGAGAGAACAATATCAAGAAGTGGGGTGGGTGAAGACTAAAAAGAAGAGAGAATGTAAAAAAGGAAAGGAAGGCCTAGAATTATTTTAGCAACTGAGTGAAATGGGAAGCAGAAGTAGTAACCTTTTTTTGAGAATCACAGAATCACAGAATTTCTAGGTTGGAAGAGACCTCAAGATCATTGAGTCCAACCTCTGACCTAACACTAACAGTCCCCACTAAACCATATCCCTAAGCTCTACATCTAAACGTCTTTTGAAGACTTCCAGGGATGGTGACTCCACCACTTCCCTGGGCAGCCTGTTCCAATGTCTAACAACCCTTTCGGTAAAGAAGTTCTTCCTAACATCCAACCTAAAACTCCCCTGGTGCAACTTAAGCCCATTCCCCCTCGTCCTGTCACCAGGCACATGGGAGAACAGGCCAACCCCCACCTCTCTACAGCCTCCTTTAAGGTATCTGTAGAGAGCAATAAGGTTGCCCCTGAGCCTCCTTTTCTCCAGGAAAGAAAGAAGAAACAGATGCTCCAGAAGAAAGCAAACGGATGTTAAAAACTCATAAATGTCTATCTAGATACTCCAACTAGAGTGGGGAAAGTTCTATTTGGAAGTTTATGTAGGAAATTTCAGTATCTGAGACAAAATTTAATTTTGCACTTGAAAAAAAGTGTTTACACAATTCCTGGAAAGGGAGCTTAGTGGAGGACTTGTTAGTGTTAGATCAGAAGTTGGACTTGGTGACCTTGGAGGTGTCTTCCAACCTAGATGATTCTGTGATTCTGTGGAAAAGCAAGTAGCAATAACAGCAATCATATCTTATAGTAACAACAGTCCTATGCATTTTTATCCCCTTCCTTTTAGAGCAGCAACAGGCAGGCTGTTTTTCCAGGATTCAGAGAAGGAATGAAGATTTACAGTTTAGTATCCTGACACTTTTTTAGTTTTCTCAGAGTAAACTGAGCACTACTGAGTACAATGCGAAGAATGTGGATAAATGCAAAAAGAGAGATTAGAATGATCATATGATAGTTGTTCTTTGCAAGAGGAGTTGGAAGGCAGAAGTTAGACAAACTTAGATAGAGTAATTCTGTTACAAAAATTGGGTTCAACTCAAAATTAAGACATAGTCAATGCAGAGCTAATCAAAGTATCCAAATTTTAGGGCATGACAAAGCTGGGTAGCTTGAATATAACTACTTCAGGCTGAGGTACTTTGCTGTCAAAATTCACTTGACCAGCTTGCAAGCTTTAACACCTGGTTCATGTACATCCACAAAATTTTTGTCCTCATAGCAGTGATTCATACTACATGCCTTCTAAAACTTGAGGCTGGTTGTTACCCTTTATTTTGGTCTCCCTTCTCCCAACACAGCTGGGTACATACTAGTCACTGTCAAACTTACACACTTTGCCCATTGTTCCAGGGTCTCAATGTAAGCTCAGGTAGGCCTGGTCATCTGGCTCCTGTACGGGTTATATCGCAGTTGTGCCCATTTCCTGCTTGGCTGTAACAACACCTTGCTGAGGGGCATGTTACTCCTGTCAGGTAGACTGACTTCAAGGCTTGCCTTTAGATGTGCCTTATAGCCATGAGCTTGTCTGATGAGTGGACTCGGCTGAAGATGGCTACCTGCTCAGGTTTGTTTTGCTTGCCTTGTTCTAGTACTGCTTGGCTGGCCCTCGGTCAGGGAGGCCTCTGCCTTATCAGGCACGCTACCATGCTCTGCTGCTGGCTGTGTCCCCTAGGGAGCAGTCACCCACCTCTTACTGCTCCCTGACAGCCGCTGTGTCTTTATCCTCCTGTCTTATGTGTGCTGTGCCATTTGCAGGCAATCTTCTATGCATTTCATATAGTTCTATAGGTTTTAAGTAGTATGTTCCCTTTCCAAATGTTGCACCTATTCTACCTGAACACTCTCTTTATCACCTTTCATTTCAATCACTTAAATGGACTGTGAAACACTGTGCTGCTCCTGCCCTGTGTTCATGCTTCAGTTGTTCTTGCCCAATTACATTTTTTTTCCTTACCCAATTACTTTTTTTTTTTTTCCCCCTTTTTCTTTTTCCCCTTTAGAGTGTGCTTAGACTTTAGACATGTTATGGTTTAACCTGACCGGCAGCTAAGCACCACACAGCCATTCGCTTACCCTACCTCCTCCCTCTCTGGGATAAGGGAGAGAATTAGAAAGAAATGAAAACCTGTGGGTTTAGATAAAGACAGTTTATTGGGACAGGAAAGAAAGGGAAAATAATAATAATAATAATAATAATAATAATAATAATAATAATAATAATAATAATAATAATAATAATAATAATAATAATAATAATGCATACAAAACAAGTGATGCACAATGCAATTGCTTACCACGCGCTGACCGATGCCCAGCCTATCCCCGAGCAGCTGCCTCCCCACCCTGGCCAGCCCCCTCCATATTAATTGTTCAGCATGACCCCAGATGGGATGGAATACCCCTTTGGCCAGTTTGGGTCAGCTGTCCTGTGTCTGTCCCCTCCCATCTCCTGCTGCACCCCCCAGCCTGCCTGCAGAACAGTGTGACAAGCTGAAAAGTCCTTGGCTTAGTGTAAGCACTGCTCTGCAACAATTGAAACATCAGTGTGATATCAACATTATTCTCATCCTAAATTCCAAAAACAGCACCTTACCAGCTACTAAGAGGAAAATTAACTCTATCCTAGCTGAAACCAGGACACATGTCTAGTTCCACTCCAGGACAATTAATTAATTCAACAATCTGGTCCTTTCTTACTTTGATTCTGTAATCTAGGACAAATTGCCTTTCTAGAAGTAGAACAAGAAATGACAGTGGGAAGGAAGTAGTGAAACAAAGAGATATTTGATAAGGCTGTGAAGGGACAGAGGTACTTGTTTACCTTGAGTACTGTGTTCAACTTTGGGCCCCTCACTACAAGAAGGACATCGAGGTGCTCAAGCACGTCCAGAGAAGGGCGACGAAGCTGGTGAGGGGCCTGGAGAACAAGTCCTATGAGGAGCGGCTGAGGGAGCTGGGATTGTTCAGCCTGGAAAAGAGGAGGCTCAGGGGTGACCTTATTGCTCTCTATAGGTACATTAAAGGAGGCTGTAGTGAGGTGGGGGTTGGCCTGTTCTCCCATGTGCCCAGTGATAGGACAAGGGGGAAGGGGCTGAAGTTGCATCAGGGGAGGTTTAGGTTGGGTATTAGGAAAAACTTCACCAAAAGGGTTGTTAGGCATTGGAACAGGCTGCCCAGGGAAGTGGTTGAGTCATTGTCCCTGGAGGTCTTTATAAGACATTTAGAGGTAGAGCTTAGTGATATGGTTTAGTGGAGGACTTGTTAGCATTAGGTCAGAGGTTGGACTAGGTGATCTTGGAGGTCTCTTCCAACCTGGATGATTCTGTGATTCTGTAAGACCAGTTTCTTATACTCTACATGAGGCAGATTTGAGCATGAGAAGAAATCAGTGAGGAAGGCTGCACTGATGGAAATTTTGGGTTTAAGGTAAAGGGTTAAGGATTCAAACAGATTGAGGGGTAGCTGAATTTAGAAAAAGGGTTAGGATTTGGAGTTGGAATAGGGTTCAAATTAGGCTTTAAATTGGGAGTTGGGATTAATTAAGAATTCAGATTACAGATAAGGGACAGGATTAATTTAGGATTTGAATTGAGAAGGCAAGGTATAGGATTTTGGAAGCCTGTGAAGCCAAAGAAGGTGCATAGCTGTGCACTGCACTGATGCTGTCTGCCATCCCTGTGACACACCAAGAAGCAGCTGATGCTGGAGCAGTTCTTGAGCATCCTGTCCCTGCAGGTGCAGTACTGTGTATGAGAGCACAGCCTTAAGACCTGTACTGAAGCAGTGGCCCTGGCCAAAATTTTCATTGCAGGATGTCCAATGCTGGCACATAGACAATGATGGATGGTTGTGAGGGAGTAGGCTTCTCATCCTTGTAGGTCAGGGCTGTGCGTTATTACACAGTCCTTACCTTCCCCCCATAGAATTACAACTAGGTGTAGTAAAGGGTGGCCTAAGAGCTTTTGTGATTTAATCTCTCCTCAGACATCCTTTCTATCCAGATCCTTTTACCCAGGGTCACCATAAAATTGAAAGTGGGAGAACCCAGTGGTTTCGTGGAGAACCATTGGAAAAAAAACACTTCCTGTCCAGCCCTGAAATGATGGGATACTGTTCAAGGCATACACTGGCCTAGGACAACATGCATTGTCAAAGAATAGCCCCAGAGACCCCTAGAGATGGGTAGTGTGGGCTGCCAAGGGGAAGGACAAGGGCTTGCCCTCAATGGACTGTGGGGAGAGGGCACAAGATGGCCAGTAGGAATGGCTGATATTCCATCAGTTCCCAGCAGAGAGACAGCTCTGACCCTGAAACCCTTGTCTTTCTCTTCTCCACTCTTTCTTCCTCAGTATTATTTTTTTTTTTTTACTTCCTCTGTCTCACATCACCTTCTCTGTCCTGCAGCTTATGGCTGCAGAAGGCAACTTCCCCATGGGATGTATGAATGAACACTTCTCCAGGCCTAAGGTCTGCAGTTCCCCAGGCAAACTGGAAGCATACAGGCACAGAGCCCTGACACTGTCACTCTGCACTGGGGAAGTGGCTATCACTTGTATTGGGTTTACCTATTAAAAATTAAACTTTTTTTTTTTTTTTTTTTAATTGGCAGTCATTTAAAACAGATAGAGGGAAAAGAGTGCTCTGGGGAACAAAGAAGTTCTGAGGAGGGGTGCTGACTGAGCAAGAAAGAGCTAAAGAAGGTTGTGGAGTGAGAAGCACTCTAGGAACCTAAGAGAGTTTCCAGGAGGCATTGTGATGGAGAGGATGGGTGAGGCCAGAGAGACAAAAGAATGCTTGGGGAAACAGTGAGAGAGGGTCTGCATGGTGCACAGATTTTGTCATGAGGTGTATTTGGTTTACGTGGCAAGGTTTAGGTAGTGGGAGATTCAGGGGTAGCCTCTGTGGGAAGTTCATAAGCTGACCCACATTAGATAAGAGCCAGTTCCAGCTGGCTCCAAAAGCAACCTGTTTCTGGCAAAAGCTGAGCCATGAATGCTGCTGGTTGTGCCACTGTGAGAACATAGTTAAGAAAGGGAAAACAAACAAAAACAAACAAACAAACAAAAACAAACAAACAAACAAAAACACCTGCTGCATAGGGGCAACTGGGAGACAGAACTGAAAAATGTAGAGAAACAATCCCACAGACACCACGGTCAGTGAAGAAGGAGGGCGAGGAGGTGTTCCAGGCACTAGAGCAGAAGTTCTCCTGCAGCCTCTGAAAGAGGACCAAGCTGGAGCAGGCTGTCCCCCTGCAGTCCATGGTGTACCAGATCTCTAAACTGCAACCCCATGGAGAGGAGCCCACAGTGGACCAGGTGATCTGGCAGGAACTGCCATCTGTGGAGGACCCATGCTGGAGCATTCTGCTCCTAAAAGATGGACCCCATGGTACAGATCCATATCGGAGCAGTTCTTGGAGACTCTCAGTCTGTGTGGAGCTCACATAAGATCAGTTCAGGAAGGACAGCATCCTGTGGGAGGGACCCCATGATGGAGCAAGGGAAGAGACTGACCATGAAGGAGTGGAAAGTTATGAAGTGTTAGGGACTGACTGCAAACCCCATTCTTTGTTGCCTTGTGCCATTCAGGGGGAGGAGGTATAAGAGGGTGGTTGTGGGGAAGGTGCTTTCAGTGTGTTTTTGGTTCTCATTGCTCTAACCTGTTATTAGTAGGTAATAAATTACATTAACCTCCCTGTGCTGACTCTGTCTTGCTCGTGATGGTAACTGGTGAGTGATTTCTCTGTACTTAACTCTTCAGCTTTTTTTCATCATGTTCTTTTTAAGGGAGAGAAGAGGGGAAGAGGTGAGAGGGCAGTGTGGTGGTGTTTAGTTGCCTCATCAGTATGAAACCACCACAGACAACCTCATGTGGTGCCAGTTCCATTCTGGGGTATGTGGTGGTGCTGTGGGTTGTGGCCCTGTATTGCTGAAGGGCTGCAGCTGTGGGGTGTAGTGGGAGGAACCCCAGGTGTGGCAGTGAGGGTGCTGATGGATACAGCCCCTCTGCAAAAAGGAGCTGCCCCAGGGAGGATGAGCAGGGGTTGTTGGGTCAGTGGAGTAGGGAGTCACTGGGGGTTGCTTTGGGCTACTTTTACTGCCCCAAGGGGGCTGGGCTGGTCTGGTATTACCAAGGCTGCAGCTTCAGCAAGGGAGAAACTGAGTGGGGCTGGGGTGTCTGTGGGAGGGCAGCAGGGAGACTTGGTGTCTGTTGGCTAGGACAGGAAAAGTCCTGTGTGGGGAGGATATTTACATATTTACATTTTATTTACATTTACATATTTACATATTTACATATATTTACATATTTACATTTAAATATTTATCAATATTTACATTTTGATGTCCGTAAGCGCATTAAAAACAATCCTTATGGTGCTATTTTTCAAAACAATGATGACTCTGTCTTTTCAAAGCTGTAATTTGTAGTTTAATTTCTGTTACTTGCTAACTGTTGAGAACATCTCATTAGGATTCCTGCCATAAAAGTCCAAGCAGGTTTTAAGCCATAAATGCTTAGTAAAATGTGCAGATGCTTACAGCATTGCTTACAAAACCACATGTAAACCATGCATATGTCAATTTTTTGAGAATATTCAGCCAGAGTATTTAACAGCCCATGAAGCTGAATTTCTTGTACCACAGATTCTTGAAATGAAGCATACTGTGGGCCTCTGCAAATCTGTTCCTGTAGTGTTCAGAAACCCATCTTCTTAAATTCATCCTTTAGACAAATGCCACTTTCTGTGACATATATATATTTAAATCAAATACTTCCATAAGCTGTCTGGTAAGTGTTCTGTTTCACCATCATGAGTTTGACAAGATTGTCTAATGCAAGGCATCGGTTAACTCCTAAATACTTGGATGATTGCATTCTTTTCTTTTTAAAAATGTATTATTATAGGAAAGCTCCATGATTATATATATAATACCTAGAAGTTTTACAGCAGTTGCACATAAATAGTCAGGATTGACTTTTTTTTCAAATATTTTTTAACTATAAAGTATTATGTAATTATGCATTTGACTTCAACATTTAATATATAAGAATAAATCTTTTGCTGGTTTTAGAGTGTTTCATTAAAAGTTTATTTGTTTTCTCTTCCTGTTACAGCAGAGTTCTTATGAAGCTTCTGTTCAGGAAGTTGGTAAGGGATTTTTTGGTAAACATTCATGTAGATATGCAGAGGATTTGACAGTACCTATCCCAGATGCTACTTCTGTAGCAGAGGATTAGATTTATCAACCCTATGAATGAGAACACTTGCCATTTTGCATAGTCTGTTAGCAATGTCAAATTATGATTGGGACTGAAGAGTATGTTGTAGCATTTCATGATTCTAAGTTACCCAATAGGTGACACTTAAGTGGGTAGATAGCTTGCTTGGCTGCTGAACTGCTTATTGCTAAGTTTAGACTGACACATAGTGCTAAAGAAAATTCTACTTTTTTATTACGATGGCAGCTCTGTTAGGAAGAAGGAATGATGGGGACAGAGATGGAAAGTGTATCGAGAAACTCAATTTCAGGCATGAGACAAAGAAAGCAAGGAGTGCAAAATGGGAAATATGCAGTCAAGAGACTGATTTATTTATTTTTCTAATTCCCTCAAGGCAGTCCCTCAGCTAATGCCATCTAGATGCATCTAGACTGTGGATTGTTAATATATAATAACAATAATAATAATAATAATAATGTTTTACAGAAATGAGGCTTGTGTGAATGTTTAGCTTTTTCTGTTTTTTTCTGTTAATAATTCTAAACCCACTGGCTGGTGTAAAAAGATAGGTCACATGGCTGAAACATTTTTTGTGGTGATACTGGATTTGTGCCTTGGTAAATGAGTACACCTGTTATTACAGTGTGACAGATGTCTGATTAGCATAAGACCACATCAGACCTATTCTTGGTCTGATTACATGTTGTGGGAAATATGTTGGAAATATGTTCAGCTCTTCCTTACTGTGTTTTATTTTTTTTTCAGTGTTTTTTTTTTGTTTGTTTGTTTGTTTGTTTTTTATTGAAATCTTCGTGAGAGTATCAAATCAGGATCCAGTAAATATGTATAAGCAACTAGCCTACAGTGTGTACCAGTCAGTATTAGACTGCAACTCTGTTAGCAATAGCAAACCAGAGGAAGATGCTTAAGGTAAGTGCTTGTTCTGCCTCAAGTTGAATGGAAAGATACTGATATTAAGCATGCCAGGGACTGTTTGAATTATTTTTTTTTAATAAGAAAAAAAGTGTAGGTGATTGTTGATGAATGGGATTTTGTTTACTCTTTTTGTTATCTTTTCCTACTAAAGACTGCATCACTTGTAAAACTTAATCTTGCAGTTTATACATTTTGTAGTATCTGTGGCAGAATAAACTGCAAGACAAGAGTAAATTAGCAAGTACAAAGACATGTTATTCTATAGATAAGATTAAATAACACAGTTACTTATTCAGTTTTCATTTTCAGAGAATGCTCCTGCCAAGTACGTGAGGTTTTTGCTAATGTGACTGGGGAAAGGAATGGCTGTGCTTTCTTTTTTCTTCTGTTCTCCACGCCCCCTCCCCTGCCCTTCTTTTTCCTCCCCCCCTTTTTTTCCTTTTCTCTCTTGATAACAGGGACTTGATTTATTTTTTTTCCTTAGAGGTCCAAATTGAAATATTAAAATGTTAATGGTCAACAGTGTCAGAGGATTGGGTGGCATTTTCAATTTAAAGGGTAAAGAACATGGAAATTTCATGTATGTTAATGTTACTCTGTTAATAAGGCTGAAGTACTAGTTGCTTGCTGTTTGAGATTTTTTTTTCCCCTTAAATATCCTCCACAAAGGCTCTTGTGGACATGCTGTGTATCTTTGCTGTTCTTCCATTATTCATTTGGTATGAAAGAGTGCTACAAAATACAAAGGCTGTAGACAGACATCTACCATTGTTGTAGATGCCTTAAGTCATGTATTTGTCCTTTTAGCCTGCCGTTTCCTTTACGTTCAGTTGAATTTTGTGCAGTGCTACATTCAAATTGGTAACATTGCTGCTGAAGTGTTCTTGGTTAAAAATAATCTTACTGTAATAGTGAATTCACTTAATATGGCTTTGCACAATGACTCTCATTATAGTAACATTTTTTTCTTTTGCCACAGATATGAGAAAAGCTCTTTCCAGAGATATGGAGAAGAAATCAATTATATCTCCACCTCATCTTTTGAGACCAGAAGACACTGAGTACCTGTAAGCAGTGATAGTCAGGTGACATACTAAGAGCATGAGGTTCCTTCTCTGCCTGCCTCCCTCCCCTTCCCCCAAGATATTATGGATGAGGAATCTTAGTCTCAGTGTTTTTCCCCATGAAATACCAAAAGCAATACTGAGAAGACTACTTACATTGTCTCTTTTGGTAATAACTACATACTTTTGCACTTACCCTTGCAACTTTTCCTTTCAAATACTATTTGAGATTATTAAATGGAGTCACCTCCGGTATGTGTTTTTTTTTTTTTTTCCCCCAAACCAAAAATGTCTGAAGTCAGTAATAATAAAACTCATAAAAATGCATTTCTTTATGACCAGTGAAAATACTGTACACTATCCATGAAAAGGAGAAGGGGAAGGAAGGCCTGATATGTAGACTAGACCCGCTACACAGGGAGGTCTGCTGCCTCCCGGGGACCCGGGTTAAAGATGTAAGGAAGAAACTTCCTTTGCTAGGACAGTCCTCGGATTATTATCCTCTTTAGTTGTTTCAGGTAGGCAGTGATGAAATAGGAAGAACTTCTTTAAGGACTATGAAGGACTTCAGAGCCATGGGGTGACTGTTCAAGGGTTCAGGAGCACAAGTCATTCTCCTCTATCCCTCCGGTTATAGGAAATAATAAGGGACTGGACATGATGGGCCAGTGGATTACTACTTGGCTCTGAGCCTGGTGTCACCCGCAGGGGTTTGGGTTTTTTGAGCTTGGCTCAATTTGCAGGAGACCAGGCCTGCTGAAAACAGACAGGAACAGCTTATTCCACTGGCAGAAAATGGTTTTAGGATGGGAGTTGGCAAGATTCGTTGACAGAGCTTTAAACTAGCTATGAAGGGGGGTTGGTGGTGAAACCAGGGTCACTAGAAAGGAGCCTGAATGTAACATACCAGTTCTTATGGTTGAGGAGTGTGTTACCAAGGCCTTGCAGACTTGTGTCTTGGTGAAGGAGGATGACATAACATTTTGCAGGAAGGACACAAGGGTTGGTGAGAGGTTGATTACTATGGAAACACCTGAGTATGGTCAAGAGGGTGTTAGGGCTTCTCCCTCCCAAAAGGTGGCCCAGCTGAGGTGCATTTACACTAACAGCAAAAAGGAGGAGCTGGAGCCCACCATGCTAGTAGGAAACTATTATATAGTTGCCACCACTGAAACCTGGTGGGATGATTCCCATGACTGGAGTGTGGCCATTGATGGCTACAAACTGTTCAGAAGGGATAGACGAGGAAGGAGGGGAGGAGAAGTTGCCCTCTGTTTTAGGAAGTGGATAGATTGTGAAGAGCTATGCCTGAGAAACAGCTGTGACCAGGTTGAGAGCTTGTGGGTGAAAATCAACGACCAGTCCAGTAACGGATATCTAGTGGTTGGGGTCTGCTACAGGCCACCTGATCAGGGGGAGTCTGTTGACAAGGCCTTCTTGCATCAGCTGCAAGAACTGTCACGCTCACAAGTTCTGTTACACGCTGGTATGGCTCCTGTCGTGCTCCCCTGTTCCTTCTTGCTTGTCCTCCATCTCCAACCTTACTGCCCTGCTTCCTATCCTTCTTGTTTTCACTCTCTCCCTCTGTCCAGCTCCCCACCAGGATCTCTCAGTCCAGCTTGTCCCTGCTCCCCATTCTCACCCCCCCCCACACACACACACCTTTTCCTCTCTTGCTTGCAACCCATCCCAGACTTGTCTTTCTTTTCCCCACTCTGTCCTTCTTCCTGGCTTTCTCAATTTTTCTCCCTCCCTAATGTTTCACGCCCCATGTCTGCACTGCTCTTGTTGTTGCGGTCCCTCCACCCTCCTTCCACTCTCTGTTCTATTGGTCTGCATCTCTCTGTCCTGCTGCCTCTGCCATCGTTCTAGCCCCTTGTCCACCCAGCTCACCTCTTATCCTCTCTGTGCCTCTGTCCTGCTCCCCTTCCCTTTATGCTCTTTTGCTGTCTCCGCCTTGCTCCACAGTGCTGTCTCTCCTTTCTCCATCTCTGTCCCATTCTGCACCTCTCTCTCAGTTACAGTGCTCTGGTATCAGTTGTTCTGCCCCCTTTAAGGACTTTTCAGTTCTCCATCTCTCATCAGTTCTTCTCCATTTCTCATTTCTGGTGCCCATCACTATCTGATTTTTCTCAGTCTGTCTTTCCTACTCCTCATTTCTCAATTTCTCTTTCTGACAAATTTTACCGCTTTGTCTACCTCTGCTTTTCCATGTTCTTGCATCCTGCTCTGCTCCACTGTCTGTATTGTGCTTTCTTGCTCTCCACCACTCTCTTTCAGTTCAGCCATTGTGTTCCCTGTCCCCTCTCCCAATCCCACCTCTGTCCCTGTGCTGGCCTTTCTCTCTCTGCCTCCCTGTTGTTCTCCTCTCTCCCTCTTTCTTGCTTTCTCTGTCCTGGTGACCATCACTATTTTATCCTTCTCCATCCCTTTGTCCTGATTCCTATTCCTTTCCTTATCTGTCTTTGCCTCCAAGCCTAACCCAGTTGTTCCCTTCCTTGCTTCTCTCTGTCATTCTGTCTTTCTTCCCCTGCCCTGTTGTTTCTCACTATACCTATTATTATTTTTACTCTGTCACCGTTCTGCTTCCTCTCCTTGTCTTTTTTTTTTTTGTCTTTCTGTGCTGTTCCCTGTCTCATCTTTTGAGCTATAACCCCCTGACCAGCCTTTGTTTTACTTTCTCAATCTTTGTCCTGCTGCCTGTTGCAGTTGTTTTTTCCTCCAGTGCTGTCCTCCTTTCTGTTCCTCTGTTTTCCTCCCTGCTCTACTCTCTGATCAGCCCTGTCCAGCTCCCTATCCCATGGGTTCTTCTTTTCTCCCTCTGGCTGTCAATTTTCTCTCTCATTGCTTGTGCTGTACACCATTTTCCTCAAATTTTCTTCGTTCTTCTCTGTCTTGCAGCCCACGGGTGCAGGAAGCAACTGTTCCCCATGGGATAGATGTCTGGCCCTCCAGGAGAAGGGGGAAATGTACAGGGACAGAGCCCTGCTACAGCCTCCTTCCTGGGAGTTCTGTGCATGATATGGTAAGATTTTGGTTCTTTTGCTTGTATTTTTGTGTTTGCAGTCTCTGGCCCTTGGTAAATGGCTGTCACCTGCACCTATCAGTGCAGGTTCTGTATTAGGGTGTGTGGAGGGGGCAGGTGCTGGGGGGTGGTTGCTCCATGTTCCTGAAGGGTGGCAGCTGTGGGCTGGGGCTGGAGGGGCCCCAGGTGAGGCTATGAGGGTGCTGATGGGGACACCCCCTCTGGATATGGGTGCGATCCAGCTGCGGTGGGTGCAGGCTGTGGGGCCAGCAGAGGAGGAGGGGGCAACAGCAGTGGCAGTCAGCTGTCCTCACTGCATGCGGTGGCCGTGCTGGGGCTCGTCTGTGATGAGGGGGCGGCTGCCAAGCGTGGCCAGGGCGGCAGCTGCTACAGGGGAAGGGGTGGCTGGGGCTGGAGGTCTGCGACCCCGGGAAGGACAGGCTCGGGGGGCCTCTGCTGGGGCACAGAAAGCCGCGGGTTAGGGGGGAGCCGTGAAACGGGGGCGGGCACCGGGCTGGCCCCAGAGCAGGGGGAGCGTGCGCGGGAGGAGGCTGCTGGGTGCCGCAGGGCCAGGCCCGCCCCGCCGCGTGCTGGGAGCGGCCGCCCCCAGGCTCTGGGCTCCCGGCCGGCCGCGGGGGTTCCCGGGGCATGCCGGGAAATGTCGTTTTCCACTGCTGCTCCCCTTCCAGGCCCGGAGCGTCCCGTGGCCAAGAGCATTTATTTCCTCGGCAGTGGCGGTGCGTGCGTTTCTCTGCCGGTTTCGTGTGATTTTCTGCGCAGTTCTCTCCGCTTCTTTTAATGAGAAAACAGGCTGTGAGCCCGAGAAATCAGGACTGGCGCTGCAGCCGGCTGGCCCCGCAAGGTGCAGTAGCGCCGCGCCGTGCTGCCGCCTGCTGGCCACAAGGCGGAAGTGCAGGCAAGAGGCGGCAGCGTGGCGCCTGCTCGCGCTCTGCTGCCACCTGCTGGCCGAAATGGGGTACTGCAGGCAGCACGGAGAACGGCGCTGTTCGGGCACGCGCAGTAGCGCCCCGTCCTCGCGAGTATGCGCGGCAGCACCCCGTGGTCAGCGTGTGCGGTAGCGCCGCCTACCGGACGCGTGCGGTAGTGCCCACACGAGTAGGCACGGCCGTGTACCCCGACGCACGCGCACTACCGCCCGTCCGCGGGCGTGCAAGGTGCCCCCGCGTGTGCACGGCCCCGCCGCTGGGTGTGGGCGTGGGGGGGCGGGCCGCGGTGCCGCAGGTACCGACCGGGTGCGGTAGCACCGCTGTCAGGGCCGTGCGCAGCAGTGCTCCTCGCTCGCTGCAGCGTGGTTGTACCGTGGGTGCTGTTCTCTTTAGCTGTGGTGGTGGTGGGACAGGCGGCTGAGGCGCAGTGACACAGAGTTGGTGGATTTGGGCACCTCGAGACGTTGTGCGGGGCCAGGCACCGGGCAGGCGGGGGTGCCGCATGATCCATGGCTCCTGGGGAAAGGACCGTTGTGCCAGCTCAGGGCAGTGGCAGGGGCTGTGTCGTGCTGGGCTACAGTGCAGTGCAGTGGGGTCTACACTCGGAAGAGCTTTTGGGTCCCACCTGGGTGGAAAG